AAAAAAAAAAAACACTAACTAACTAACAAGTCTGATATGCAAGGAAACTGAGCAATACCGAAATGACAGAATTCCAGATTGCAAAATCACAATGAACGCCAGATAGTCGAATGCTGTCCACAAAGCAGAAATGCACTGATATCACACCAAAGGAGAACCAAAGCAGCGATCTCAATTGTCAATGAAAGCATACTCTCACCACCACCAACAATGTCTTTGAAACTCTTACCTCCTACTTGTCGGTCAGCGGCCAGAGTACCATGGCACAGCTACTATCCTATACCACAAAGGTGACGAAACAACCAGTTGACGTCAGCAGCAACAACCGAAGTTCATGCCGATGTCGACCATGTAGACCACCGTCAAGACCAGGTACGTACCCTCACATCATCTACTTCATCTCTCTATCTTGCTCACCCTCATCTTCTTCACCCACGTCTCCACTCTCACGAAGACCACCACCACCTCCGCTAACCATCCAATCCCAACCCCGGCTATGGGGGCTAGGCTATGGCACTGCCTCACTGCAGCGCCCTGCTTCTCTCGCGACTGCATTTGCATTGGCACACCACCTAGCACTAGCATGCAGGAGCGAGCACACGCTCCAGCAGCGCTGCCGCTTGCACTAGCACGTGCCGAATGCCTGCTTCCTTGGCAGGCACTTTCCTAAATGGAAAGCGCTCGCAGCCTTGCTGCCCGGCTGGGACACGTGTGTGCCCTCTAGCCTAGAGTTGGGCCAAAGTGCCTGGGCGCAGGCCCGTTCAGACAGTGGCCTGGGACTGAATTGGTTAGGACTCAGGAGTGCCCAGCCACCCAGGCACAAATGTGCGGTGTTCCCTGCTTTCCCCATGTTGCTGGAAGAGCGGCTGGAAAGCTCACAAATATTTCAGATTCTCACGTGCAAGGCAGATGTAACCAACTGGCGCATGGCAACTGTCTGGTGCCCACAAAGATTTGCAAAAATTGACGAATTCAGGGCTCGCTCATTGAGATTCAGGGGCCCGCCTTCACTTAGGGCGGGCACGCGCCTGCTGCAAGGGCCCTTATGCTGGTATGCCGAGGGGTAAAATTCTCGCACTCCCTCCTCCTTTACTTCGATAGTCCTCTGACAAGTCTTCATTCAGCAGGCTGCTTCCCTTCTAATCTTCTCTCATATCCTGCGATAACCTGTGGAGCAGCACACTTCATTAATTCTTCTCTCGTGAGCCATCGATCTTCTTTATAGGATCAAGATGGTGCCTGAACCGCACTCTGTACTGCATCTGCGGTTTCGAAGGTCGTCCCCTGCCTGGAGGCTTGAGCACAGGCATCAGCTTGTGCTCAACACTGTCATCAATATCCACGTGTTCATCCATGGTTAAGGGCAGCATAGATCTCATTGGAAGGAAACCTGTCGGTCTCAGAAAAAGGAGCCATCGGGGAGAAAAACGCGAACACCATGTTTGAAGGCAGGCATGGAAAACAGGGTGTGTGCGTTAAGTGCCCAGGGATTCGGATGACATAAGTTGTTGGCCCATCTGGTGCACCCCCAACCACGTCTACAATTTCCCATGGGCCGAAGTACTGCGGCATCAGTTTCCTAGAGATTCCCAATTCCTGTCCTAACTCAGATGCCTTAACCCAGACACGYCGTACACCTACCTGGAATGCAGATGGCYGTCTGTGCCTATTCTCCGATGCAATCATCATGGCATCCYGAGACTTCTTTATCTGTTCGACAGCCTGCTGCCGCAGCTGTTCATATTRACAGCAAACTCYATGCTGCCTGGTGCCGCAGTGCAGTGGGGGCTGATTCTCAATTTCTCAGGCAACAGGAAGTCAMGAGCAGATMTGGGMTTCCAACCAAGATGCAGCTGGTTGGAAGTCATGCTGGTAGTGCTGTGGACACAGCGTTGTTATACATGTTAGCGACGAGAGGTAACTTCTCATCCCAGTCATCTTGGCTAGGCTTATTATAGTGCCGTAGCAAGTGTTGCACTACCCTGTTCATCTGCTCAGCTTGGCCGTTTGACTCAGGGTGGAGCCCTGATGTCATCTGCAGTTGGGTTCCCATCGGCAGGGCCGTACTTTGCCACAGATCACTAGTGAAAGTGACATCCCTGTCACTACTCTTTATGGTAATGCCWGCTCTTATAGGTGGGTTTGGAAACTGGTTTGTTCCTATTTTAATTGGAGTGCCTGATATGGCCTTTCCACGATTAAACAATATCAGTTTTTGGTTATTACCA